GAGATCGCTTAAAGGTCTCAATCTTCTGAAGCTTCTGGGCTCTTTCCATGATGTCTTCGCAAAGAAAAAATGTCTTGCAAAGGAAACACATGTATAAAATGAAAGATGCAGCAGGATCGATAACGTTTGAGAAACACAACTCCATGTTGACTAACACCATGGAGGCTCATGCAAGTTCACACATCCCTGCATACAAGCGCAAAGCTCAACTAAGCGAAAGCTAACTGGCTTGAGCAATGAAGACACAATTGCTGGACACTCCAAAGGCGCCACTGCAAACCAAATCACAACCCATGCTTTTGGCTTCCTCCAATGAAGGAGACTCCTGAGTTCAGAGGGCCCACAAATATGCCTTGAGTACCATCAGCGGCAACATAAACTGATACTGAAGGTCAATTCACATGTTTTAGAGTTATGACATAGCTGTATTCGCCCCAAAAGCTTGGCTTAAACAACTCGCGCGCATCTTCATTAGCAGCCCTGGCGCTTGACTAGCTAACCCATATCAAAGCACAATTTGCAGGTCTTTTCATCCACCTGCTGCTAGTCAAAGTTGATGAAAGCTTGCTCCAACGCACGCGTCGCTATCCCTGCAGGCCAAAGTGGCAGGAGAAAGCAACAATATCTTACTCATATCACAATGCCACTACAAAACAACAAAGCTTGATCCACACACTAGCAACTTTACACATCAGCTTTTTGCCTGGCGTAGGTCCCATACCCTACCAGCATCCTGAGAGCAGTTTTGGCAAAGGCTTTTGACGCTCATCTGGGAATCCAACCTTAACTGCACCCTGTCCGAGACTCCTTGGTCCTGCCATGCCATTCCTCAGTAGGACCCTGAGGACCGTTGCTGAGGCAGGCTTCAAATGCTTGCGTGAGTCATTGCCATTTGTCAGTGGTAGTTTCACTGTTGGCTTGAAAGCTTGTGCTGCTTCATGCTCAACCTTTGCGGGCGCCCCAGTGTCTGCAGGAGGCGCTGGCAATGCCTTGTGCTGGGGTGGTATGGTGGCTTTCGCGCAGGTAGGAAAATATTGGAAACCACGCCCACCTGCAGCCGGAGAACCAGCTGAAGGCCTGAAGGTCCAGCTGAATGATGGCCTTGTGTGCGTTCCTCAAAGGAATTTGTTTCAAGACACGGTTGAACTGGTCTGGGCGGTCCCCATGCGAGGCCCTGACTGCAATGCCTTGTCCTTGATAGGCTGTGGAAGCCCGCCAGGTGAACCTGCATATTTGGTGATGGCATCTTGAACTATCTGAAAAACGACTTCTGGCTCTGGCAGGCAGCTGTGAGTAGCTACAAGGCGAAGTTGCTACTGTACACTTGACTGTCTGTTCAGACATTTTCTCAGTTTCTTCACCAGCGCTGCCAGCTTGGAGTGGTAGGAGCCAATGCCACACAGAGAATCCCACTCAGTCTTGGTCAAGACCGGAGCAACACATATAGTCTGAGGCTGAGGCTTCAAAGTGTGCGCAAAAGCCAGTGGAGAAGGAGCTGCAATCCTGTCATCAACCTTCTTTCTGATCAGCTTCTTGGCTTCAGGCGAAATGCCACACAAAGTGTCCAATGCTTTCAAAAGGGCAGGTGCCTTTTCTGCATCAAACTCAACCGACTCCGTCTTTGCTGCAACAACTTTGAGCTATGGGTCTTCGGAAGATGATTTCCCGCGAGGACCATGATGTGCTCTGCGTTCCAATAGTCCAGAAGCGTCTTGTAGTTCTTTGACTACGTCTCTTTATTCTATGTCGCAGACATGGTTGCAGGTAGACAGCTACCAGTTTAACAGCTACAACCCCCCCTATAAGCCATACATGCACCATTCAACACAGGGCTGTAAGCCGCTAAAGAGTTGTGCAGCAACTACTCTTGTCACACTCACCTGTAGCCCAAGGGCATGGTCGTGTCAGCTGGAACGTGTCATTGTAGCCTGATGGCTTGCTCATGTTAAATAGCGTAAAAGTTTACAGCCCATAGTTCAATGTAGCCTCATGGCTTGCTCGTGTTAGAGAGTCCACAGTCCATAGTTCACTGTAGCCTCAAGGCTTGTAAACAGCTCTCTTGCAAACTCCAAACATCTTTTCGCTTTGCAAGTTTCTGTACTGTACTGTCTTGTCATCCACCTCTATAGCCCTGTCTACTGAATTGCTGTGCTTGAACGTGTTGCAAACATGTTGAAGCAGTGGCCACAGGCCTCATATGTCTACACGATTGGAACGTGGTCATGTTTTGATACGTTTGTAAGCAAACTACTTAGGTCTCGATGATATACATGTATGCAAACAGCTCATGATGATACACGTGTAAGCCAACGGCGTATGTCAACAACAATCTGCGCAGCAGGCAGCGTTTGCCAAATGACAAAACACAGTAGTTGTACCTGTCACCCAAGCCACCAGTGGCAGCCATTTGCTGATCATGACTGTATACAAGTTCAGCCATTTGAGCGTTCTCCATCCACCTGAACTGGGTGAGGAGACCCTATACCATGAGCATCAGCCAACAACTAAGAAGCGTCAGCCTTGAGGTGACCCTACCACGCAACAACGTACACACCAAACAAAAACAGTCTTATTGAAATGTAGGCTGAAAAGCTTGTGCGTCAAATAGTCAAGCCGGCGACCATCATTCGAAGTAATTGCAAACAGTGGCTTTGCAGCCAGTCTTGAGTAATTACAGGATGTTGGCCATGTCCCAACAATCTGTGTACTTCCACTTGAAGGACCTCAATTGCGTGGTGAGGGTTGCAGACAATGTATGCTTCATTGGCGTTCCATGGCCAGTAGCATGTCCTTCCAGTCTGAGCTGATCATACACTTCCCATCAGCTGTAATGTAGTGCTTGCCAATCATTTGTTGGCTCCGCTCAGCCACCTTGCGTTGCTACGTTTCCTCAGGCAGGAGCGCTCAGGGTTCCACCCAGTTGACCGTTTTAGATTGAAGTGATTGTTTCCCACCCCGCGCACCGCTCCACCAAAACTTTGGGTCTAGCTGCGTTCTTTTTAACAGGCTCTGTGCCCTGCTTTGTTTTGAGGCTGTGTTGATGTGTCACGCCGTGTCAGCGATAGGCTGATGTAGTCCTGGGGCTGCCAGGGCGTTTTGTCAGTGTCTGCCTGATGCGTTTTGCCTCGTTATCAGAGGGGTTCTGCAACTGTGCCCTCGACCACAATGCGCTCAAATATAGCCACGTGCTCGACAAACCGCGTTGACCCAGCTGTAACAGTCACGCCTTTGGATTGTTTTCTTTGTGCCCGGTAGCTCTTTTTTTTGGATCTGTTTCCGGGGTACAGGGTTTCAAACAGTACCGTTGGGTTGGGAAGGTTTTTTGTTCAGAGTTGTTTCCGGGGTACAAGGTTTCAAACAGTACCGTTTGGTTGCGCAGGGCCCGTGCGGCAAAACTTCCACTTGCGGCCTGTGTGTCCCTGCGGCAAGTCTATCCACTTGCGCCGTGGCAAGGCTATTTGGGCACCCCACGGGCTGTTTTGCGAAAGGCCGTGACAGGGCTGTTGGGCACCTGTGTAGGGTTTCTTCTTGTATGGGCGCTTGCCTGCGAGCGGGGAGAGGCCGTGGAAGGGTTTCCTTTTACCGTTTGGCGCTACCCTGTGTGCGGAGTGTTTTTGGGCTGGACTCCTTTTCGATGTCTGGCGTCAGGGCTGTTTGGGCGGCGGGTTTGCGAAAGGGTGTGACAGGGCTGTTTGGGTACGTGTGTAAGGTTTCTTTTTGACCTGTTTGGGCGCCAGCCTGCCTTGGGCCGGACTCCTTTTCGACGCGTCTTGGGCCCAAACTTGTCAAAAGGAAACCCTTCCACGGCCTCTCCCCACTCGCTGGCAAGCGTCCAAACAAATCAAAAAGAAACCCTGCGCAAGTGCCCAAACCGCCCGTCACGGCCTTTTGCTAACCCGCCTGCGTGACAGGGCGGTTTGGGCGCCTGTGCAGGGTTTCTTTTTGGCCTGTTTGAGTGCTTGTCTGCAAGAGGGGAGAGGCCGTTGAAGGGTTGCCTTTTGACCTGTTTGGGTTCCAGCCTGCGCACGGGAAGTCCTTGGGCCGGGCTCCTTTTCGACGCGGAACCTGTGTAGTTTTCTTTTTGGACTTGTTTGGTGCTAGCCTGCGCACGGGAAGCCGGAACCTCTGTGGGGGCTGTTTGGGCACCTCTGAGTGGGGTTTCTTTTTGACCTGTCATAAAGAACCTTGGGAGGTACAGCCCCCAAACCGACCAGCTCGCTTGAAACCCTTGCGGCCTATTCCATGTCAATATAGAACCTTGGGAGGCACGCCCCCAAATGTACCGGTTCCGTTTTGAAACCTTGGCACCTCAAAACAGGTCAAAAAAGAACCTTGGAAGGCACTGCCCCCAAGCGTTGGGCCCTGAGGCGAACTTGTCGAAACAGCGCCCAAAGCAGCGCAAAAATGAACATTGCACCCCAAACCATGTTAATAAAGAACCTTGGGAGGCACGGCCCCCAAATGTACCGGATCCGTTTTGAAACCTTGGCGCCTCAAAACAGGTCAAAAAAGAACCTTGGAAGGCACTGCCCCCAAATCTACCAGGTCCGTTTGAAACCCTGAGTCGAAATAGCGCCCAAAACTGTGCAAAAAAGAACCTTGCGATCCAAACCATGTTAATAGAGAACCTTGGGAGGCACGGCCCCCAAATGTACCAGGTGCGATTGAAGCCTTGGCACTTCAAAACAGGTCAAAAAAGAACCTTGAGAGGCAGTGCCCCCAAATCTACCAGGTCCATTTGAAACGCCGAGACAAACATGTCGAAACAGCGCCTAAAGCAGGGCAAAAAAAACAAAACCCCATGCCTTTAAATGGAGTGGATGTGAAGTGCCACACACATTCAGTCACGGTGATGTCAGGAAAAGGTTTGCGCGGATGCGAGAGATTCACTTCCCAATCAATTGTCCTTTGGGCGTCGTAGAGAGGCAGAACATATGGCTGGTGAGCCAATTGAGATTCTGTAGCTTTTATCTGCAGATTTTGCGCCAAGGACAGATTGCATGTCGATGCCCAACCAGGCGTTTGAACCGCCTAGGTTCTGGAGGTTTTTGCAGACCGGATTCTACTTGTAGCAAGCTCTTTGTTGAACAGCGAGAGATGCAGCATTGTCATGAAGCAGGCCGCAATAATCGCAGCGGCAGAGCAGAAACTTGGAGAGGCGAGAAGTTAGTTTGTAAGAGCCCGCTTGTCAGAAAGGGACGTGGCGACGTGGCGTAAACACATTTTCGAAATATACTCGGTCTGGCAGGTCGAGGGAATAGTATCCGTCGCTTGACGTACAACATCCGTGTGCACTGTGTGTTCCAAACGCGTGTATTGGTAATTGGCACTTCCCCTTGAGCTTCATATTTTTCCTGCTAGGAAAGTCCTGAAGGATAGAGCGACCATCATGCAGGTCTACTCTTGTCACAATCCGTACGCGTTACTGCCAGACGGTCTAAACATCTTCAAAAGCCTCAAAGAAGAATCATCGTAGTCCTAAGTTCAAAAGCCCAGCCCCACGTTGGCCGCGAAGTTCGAACGAAGATGCCCATCCACTTCACGGGATATCCACTGGCGCTGTGGACCCCTGTGCTGCCCCGTGCTGAAATTAAAGGAAGGGCGCTACCAAACCAAAAGGTTTCCTCCGAGGGTTTCACGCTTAAAGATCAAGGAGCGATATTCAGGGTGGATCTCGCTGCGCGCTAGCCCTGTATGTTATTGGATTGGACAGCGTTGGCCTTACGCAGGTTCGGTGAAACTCAGAAAACCTGAAGGCACACGCGTCAGAGTGACCAACTCCCATATCACCACATCAAACGGGCGTCTTCGTTCGTGGTGGTCCCTAGTTCTGCCGATGGCAAAAATCATACGTAAGGTCCCTGGAGACGGGTGGTGACACACACTTAGATAATGGGTTTGCAGTTAACTCTGTTCCACGTCAAAAAGGTGAGGGAACGGAAAGGTGCAAGATCGGCTCAACTGAAATGTTCAACAATGTTGATGCGTGACTGTGGCAGCGCAACAGTGGAAAGCAGCTGAGGGAAACCTGTTTTGGGGTCTATCATGAGAACAACCATGGCAGCAAAACGAAGGAGTGGACAGCGTGGTCAACGGTTGAAAGTGCAGGTGCACAGGGATGATCAGTCCCTGCGTCCTGGTCGACTGCATGGAGCTTCGTTGGCGACAGCCATGCAGCGACCCTGTCGCCCCCGGCTGAAGTGATAAAAAGGAACGTTGAAACTCTTGGAGACAGAGGGGGGCACACACAAGGTGCTGACTCCGGCGCAAGTAGTAAATTGTTGCGGTCTTTTTTGGCTTCAAAAATCGCTTGCAGTCTATTGCCGCATGTTCTTTGAGGACGTAGAGGTTGACTAGCTGTTCGGCCGCTGCGTCCGCTGCGTGGGGTGGGTAGGTGTAGGTGTAGATTGTGTGGAGTCGTGAAGCGAGATCTGAGAGCGTGAGCCGTTTGCTCCCGGCGCTGGTAGCATCTCGGATTTTCCAAGGGTTGCGTGTAGGTGATGGTGCGTTGATTGAGATCAATGTTAAACCCGAGGAGGTGGAAGTCGTCAACTGTTTCAAGTTCGACTGGATCTCCGAAAAAGTTGTGGTGGATGAGGGTTTGTATGGCTGGGTGGGAAAGGAAGTGCTCGTTGTGGACAATAAAGCGATTGTCCACGTAGCGGTACTAGGTGAAATGGAGGTCCGTGTGGTGAAGCAGGTTGTTGTGTAGCTGCTGCCATGAATGCTCAACGGGTGTAATTGCGACGTTGCAAAGGGCTGGTGACAACTGGGAGCCAATCCCAGCGCCCCGTATTTGTTTGTAGGTGTGGTTGCAAGCCCGGAAAATGCAAGTGTTGAGTGCGAAGGCAACGATGGTGGTAATGTCGGAAGTGTGGATTGTGCGTTGTGTGGGGTGTCTGGTATGGTGGCGACCAATGTGGGAGTGGTGATAAGGGTTGCCTGTGGCCTTGGTGTCCACGGTGAGAGTGTGAGTGGATTGTTGAGTCTGCCATTCTTGGATCAGGGAATGGACTGCGTCAATCAGTCGATGCTCGGGGACGGAGTTGAAAAAACCAACGAGGTCATCGTTGGTAGCGTGTAGGGTGATGTCAGTGGGAGTTTGTGAGAGATAGGTGTGGAAGTGGCGCCAGAGTTGTGGGATGGAGAGTGTTGGGGGAAGAGATGTTGCAAGATGATGTCGAGAGCTCTGCTCGTGATGCAGAGGAGGTTTCCAGCAAATGACTGATAGTAAGAGATAATGGTGCGACCTTTCTGCCATTGCTTTTTGGCTTTGAGATGGACAATGCCATAGGGGACAGGGAAGTCTTTGCGAAACCCCCATTTGTAGCGGGCCCGAAGGCTGGAGGGGACTGTGGCAGTGATATGCTCTTGAATGTTTTGCGATGTGAGGAATGGCAACGGCTGGAAAAGTTCAGGAGCTTGCCAAGTGTTGAGAGCACCTGTAGTATTGTTGTGGGCAGAAAACACGGAGTGAAGCTGTCATGGTCTGCACGATGGAGGACGACTTTGTCACCAAGGTATTCTTGGAGTTGGCGAAGGAGACGTGCTGTAAAATGTGGCTGTTGTTTGAGGTGGGCGACATGATGGCGCCATTGGTGTTGAAGGAAAGGTTCAATGTCTTGGTCAAGGGATGGAGGAAAACCTTGGGTGCGAAGCCATCTGCGAAAGGCAGTTTGAAAGGTGAGGAAGTAGCGAGCCTTGGTGGGATAAAAAGTGCTGTTCACATTGGCATCGAGAAAGATTCGCAGGTGAGGTGGGAGTTGAAGGTGGCGCAGGGTAAGAATGTAGTGGCCGTCGGTAGTGGTGCAGGTGGTATCCAGTAGGAGGGTGCGAAGGTGTTGGCAGGCGCAAGGCAGATCGGATGGAGCTGGGGGAGTACAGAGGGTGTCTTCCCATGTTCGGTGATTGTGGAGCTGAGCGCGTAAAGTCTTGTGAGCGGCCTCACGGAGGCGATGAGTTGAGAGGTGGAGAGGAATGGCAAGGTCAAGGTGCTTGTGTTGCTGGATGGTGGTGCGTAACCACTGCTGGGTGTGTTTGGTAAAGTCGTCGTGAGCCAGGGTAAGGGGAATGTTAGCGCGAGGTGGTGTCAGGTTGCGGTACTGCGTGGCCTTGTGAATAATGCGCAGGGCCCTGGTGCGACCGGGTTCTTCAAGGTTGGCGGCCATACGTCGGATGGCGTAAAGTTCGAGGTCTGTGTGGCGGCCACTGCGGAGTTGTTTTGCTGCTTCGAAAGAAGCGGAGGTGTGTTTGGTAAGATTGCGGAGAAGGGTGAGGGCGTGGTGCTTGGTAGAGGTAAAGAGGTGTGGCTCTTGGACGGTTTGTTGACGGCATCGTAAATGCCTAAAGAGGCGTTTGCGGGTGGCCAGGCGAGAAAAGAAATGTGCTCTGTGCTTGGTGAATTGCCAGCCCTGGGCCTCCAATTTGAGGTGATGGGAAATGAACGGCCAGTTAAGAGGTGGCGTCCAATTTGAGATATGGTTGTGTTCCTGTATCCAGGCATGGTCATAGGTGTCATGTGAGGAAAGCTGGATAGTGGTGTACTGGTCGATGGTGTTGTGAGTGTGCCAGTATCGAAGAGAGAGGTCGGATGAGATGGGGATATTGTGCTGAAGCTGTTTGAGTTTGGCGCGGCGATTGTGCTCTCGATGAGGAACGCCAATGGCTGTGGAGCCAATGTAGAAGTGGCCATGTTGGTGGTAACAGTGGTGTGGTTGCTGGATGTTGAAGTAGAGTTTGATGTAGACAGAATTCGAATAAAGAAAGTTGTGGTAGTGGTATGTCTGGGGTAGGACATGTAGCTGGCGAAAGCGCTTTCGCCATTGTTGTGAACGCTGTGTGTTGGAGGGGTAAGTGAAGAGAAGGGCGAGGTGTATGAGCCCAGTAGCAAAAATGGCATCAGCGCCTTCAATGTAAGCTGCGCGGTGAATGAGAGTAGATAGGGCACGGTGGAGGTGGACAAGTTGTTGCATGTTGGTGGGAGTGGGCGAATGTTGGCTGACTTGAATGATCCCGCTACTTGTACCTACTTATAGAACTTAGACTATTTAGTATCCAGGGTACAAGTAAGATATAAGTATGATCTAAGTACAGTATAAGTATGGTGTATATCTTAGTAATGAAGTGCAAGTACTACACATACTTACTAAAGGTTAATCAAAAAGGGCTAAACTCTAGATACAAATGTATATTTTAGCCTTTGTAAGATCTACTTAGCTAAACTTTAGCTAAAAAAGTTAGTGCAAATACAAAATTTAAATACCACTTGATAAGTATTTAACTAGATCGGCTAAGTCCTTAGCTAAGTACTTAGCTAAGTGTTTAGCTAAGTACTTAGCATATGAGCAAAAGCAATTTTCCATGGTTTGATTGTCAGCTTTTTCACATGCTGGCACCTCTATTTTCATATTTTCAAAAGTTTGCATGTGGTTTTTGCGCAACCCATTTTTGAAAAATACTGCATGGGCACACATGATTTTTTACCAAGTGGAACATGTTTTTGTCAAAGGTGTGCTTGAGTAAAGCCAAACTGGCTGCTTGTTGTAGTTGGTCTTCTCATTGCAGCTTTTTTTGCTACATTGGTTGCATTGGGCCACTTTTGCAATGGCAAAACCTCCTCCACAGAGAATGCAGCAGTTGCTGTTGGCAAAGATGCCCATGAATAAACTGGAGAAGCATTGGCTTTATCTGAGAAGCTGTGTGCACTGGAAGTGTATAAGTATACATTTTCTTTTTGTTTCTATGTTTGATGCATTTTAAAGTCACGCCACCCCACCCTGCAATGACTATCAGGATTCCATTGCAGCACACTTGCTGGCAAGAAGAATCAAAAGAAGCATCAACAAAAGGAGGAGCTTGCCAAGTTCTTCTGGCTCTGACTAGGTGGAGTTGTATAGCTGGCCTGTGTGTTTTCACAAATAGTTCAAATTCATCAACCATGTGCAAGATGTACAGCTGTATATGGGAAGGAGGTGTAAAGGGCAAACAAGCTTGTGAGCCATGATGGCTGAACATGTGCAAGTGTAAACATGTTAGTGAGATTGGTTAAGATGGACCACCAATAATGGCTACATACTTGTTGCTGCATGTTGACTCATTCAAACTTTACCTTGCTTATAGCAACTTGTTTGTTCAAGATTGTTCAAAGCTTACCAAAAT